CATAAATAAGGGGGTAAAACTGGTGGTGAAATTTTGTATATATTTTTTAAAATTAGTCCTAGGGGTATGATATTTTGAATAGAGGTTTCTTAAGTGGCGAAAGTTTTTTGAAATAAGGGGTGAAAGTTGTCTCAAAAATTTGTTAAAATGTGTTTTAGAAGTTTGAAATTTTGCGTAGAAGTTCCTTAGGTAACGTAAAATGAAAAACGTAGGTACTAAGAATATATTTTTCAAAATATGTCTCTTAAGTAGGTGAAATTAGACACAAAGGTTGACAGCAGTCCCAAAATCAGGAAAAAGTAATCATAATACCTAATCAAAGTAACAAATATTTGAAAATCATTTCACTCTAGGCCATTTTTTCAACTTGGTACTTGAGTAACGATTAATAATGAGTAATCAAAAGTAACGAAATCAACATCACTACTTTTCAGTCTATTTTATGATAGTGTTGATATCAGAAATGAGCTAATGCACACAGAAGATAAGGGGCAAACTATAGTTAATCTACCACACAATATATCAAAACTCTTAAATTTAAATCTTTTCAGAAACTATACTAAGCGTGGCGTAGTCATTATTGTAAATTATTGTCGTAACGCTGAATATAGTGGTCTGCATGAAAATCGACAATTCTTGCCGATTCTTATATAAAATGGGCGCATGAATACAAATATGAACTCCGTTTCTTTCTTACGGGAGTCTCCGTTTTCCTTCTTACGGGAGTCGGGACGTATTTTTAACTGTTTTTCAAACCAAAAAAAATTATACTATCCCGGAAAGCCTCAATCTTATGAAAAATATACATCGTATACAGAAGGGTAAAAAAAATCTTAACCCCTACGAGTGTGCGAATTTCTGCATTAAGCTCATCAGACCGAAGGAAGCAGCAATCCGCCAACCGGTTTCGGGGATTTATCCCCATCATCAGGCCGACTTTGCTGAATCCTTCGATCTGACAAACAAAAATCAGAAATCGCATATGAGTTTCAAAGGTACTAGTGCAACATGATACAATTAACAGAAGATAAGATATTGCGCGCATGTAGTGGGCGGAGCTTAACAGAAAATTACTACCCAGGTGACGGTCATGCGCGCGGAGTACCGATTTGCGACCGCCAAGGATCTTTTGTCTTGTTTATTTTATCATGCTATTATCCAGCTAACAGGGTAGTTCTATAAATTTTGAGTAACAGAACTTTTATATTCTTTTAATTTTTATAGTTATATCACAACACCGATTTATTACATTAACGTGCCACTTGAGACTGTTTTGTTTTCAAATACTTAATTGTTTTATAAGATACTTGTAAGAACGTTCTTAAAGCTAAATTATAGAGCATTCATAAGATAAGCACCAAAGTTGCTTTATAAATGTGTCAAGTAACATAACCGTGCTTATAGAATTAAATTACTGTGCATATGCGAAGTAGTGCCTTATAAATTATACCATCTCCTGTAAAACACTTATAAAATTGTTCCGTAATGTCGCTTATAATTTCTTTATAAAACTATTGTAAAGTTGGTTCCTAAGCTACTATTCTGCTGTCGATCATGAATTACAATGCAATCAAATGTTCTTACGATTTTTATAGAACATGAAATTGTTAGTTGGGTACAATGGTGAGGACTAGATGCTCTCGCCATATGGCGGCAGTCGAACATATCGTACGAATTGTACTACCAAATAAAACTAGAGACCTACTGGAAAATCAAGTCTGCTTCACTTATGATTGCTAGAGCATCTAGTTTTCTAGTTTTCATCTAATTTGCTTGAGAATCGGAAGGAACAGTACCAGATCTGGAGAAAAAAGTTGTTTTTGCAGACCAGCGGTATATGTACCTCAATTGTATACTTTAAATACAGATAGACCTTATGTCGTAAAGTGGCGTTGTGAGAGATTTATTCGAATTAAAAAAGCTTATATTTAAAACAGACTAAAACAACTTAAATAGATTTTAAATTCTGTATATTTTTTAGATTATTGCAATCAACTAAATAAAGAAAACGGTCTGCATGAAATATGTGGTATGGTAGTACCATTGAAGTGGCCTTCAAACAGCATTAATCCTACTACCAAGTCTATCATTTTCTTCTGTCAGTTATACTCAATTGGTATGAATGTACAAAAGTATCATTCGGTAAAAACGTTATAAAGCGGAGTTATACAGGTTCCGACAATAGTGCGTCGGGCATCTGTAGCTTCTATAATAAAAACTACTATAATAAAAAAAACTACTATTCCAGCTGCTACGCTTACCGACGTTCTTGAGCCGTCTGTATACTAGAGTGCCTCAGCTTGAATGGATACACCCAATTTAAAAAGGCGTCCATTATTCCCAAAGAGACCTGGTTTATAAATCCAGAAGAAGCAAAAAAGTCTTAAAGACTCTCGCTCATACGAGCATCATCAGACAAATTGTACCAGTAAACAATACCAATTGTAATCAGACCTTAATTGTATATTTGTCTGATGATGCTCGTTTGAGCGAAACACGTGTCACAATTTAACTTTTTAATAATAAATGTTAAAAAAATTAAAAATACATTTTTAATAATAAATGTTATGGTTACCCGGTGGCGTAGTGGTACAGCTCTCGTCTACCAATTCAAAGGTTGTGGGTTCGAATTCTACAGCCGGCATTTCATCAGCCGACTATTTTTAATAAAATAAAAATAGTTTGGGTACCTAGGTCGACTCAGCTTTAAATAAGTACTTGGGATTCACAATCCTGAGGTAATAATAGGCGGTTGAAGCGTAATGCTAGCCACATTACCTTCCTTGTATACCGAACGGCTCTAGTATGGCAAGCTGTACCTTGCTACTCCTAAGGCGTTAAACGCTATATACGGGAGATATTATTATTATTAATAATAAATGTTGGAGACCGAGATCGTCTTCTCTGTTTCTTTTGGATTTATATTAAATTTGTTGTTAAAGCTATATCTTATAGCTGTTGCAGCATCATTGGTTTCAGCACTATGGATCTAGCTTATCATGTGTGAGTGGTTTTATTGTCCCGTTACATACAGGCAAACAAGCCTTTGTGTGAAACTTAACAGCCTTATCGCACCCACTTGCGATGTTTTTGTCCACCACGCCACCGACCCGTATATTATCATGTGTCTTACTACCATTGTGTATAACCACAGAGTCATTTTAGGGTTAACTCCCCAGGTTTTTTTCCACACATCCTTCTGCACCTGCATAAAAAGATATGTCAGCCTTCTGTGTTTCCTTTGCTATGTGAGTATTCCATGTGAGCCTTTGATCAAAGGTTTGATCATGTACTTTGTTTTTTGGCAAATGAAATCTCTGTTTCTCCTAGCACCGGTGGTTTTAAGCTTTTTCGTTCTATCTTCTTTGTAAAATTCAGTAAACTTGCCCCTGACCACAATTATAATGTCGTCTGCATATCCTAGGCACTAAAAGCCTTGTGTGGACAGTTCGATGAGGAGGTCATCTACCAAGCTTGCCCAAAGTAGGGAAGATAACACTCCCTGTGGACAACCTCTACCTGCTAATGCTTTGACGTGTAGAGTTACCCAAGAGTGGAAGTCACAGGCGCTACAGATACCCGACGTTCTTTTGTCGGACCCTTTGTCATCTTTGATAATATAAATGAATTAAAAATTTATCGAAAGTTACCGCGTGAACTGGTTGTAAGAAGACAAAAACAACATTTCTGATTATTACAGGATTTTATATACCACCGGCTGGGAGCATGTGTTTTTTATCTTGGGAGTGTTCGAAATTATTAAGTGCGAAAATAAATCACTTGAAAACATTGTTCCAAAATGTATTTAAATATGAAAATCATGAGGAAAGAAAAATTAAATTGAGATTTTGCATCAAATATCATCAAGAATTATTAAGGTAATAAAATAAATAAGATTTTAATTTAATTTTAAGAATTTAGAGCTATTATTTTCTGTACTTGTAAAAAGATCATCTGTTCTTATTGTAGGAGCATTTTAGTTATTAGACCTTATTACAGTTCATTAGTCCTAGTAATTTGTCATTTGTATAATTTGCTAATACGTTGTTGCAATGATCGCATACCAATACTGTTTATATTAGTTAGCGTTTACGTATGTATTTTGGTAACCCAGATAATATACCGTTTAGTTGGAGACAATAGCTGATGGTCATCGTCAATTAATCAGTCTTAATAAACACACACATTAGAGTACAGAAGTTGAGGTTGTAACATTTGCCTACATGGCCGATCCGGACGCAAACCGGGGATTTTTAAGCCTTTAAAAGTTTTAAATATTTGATAAGGTATTATCGTCTGTTGGCGTTAGATCGTACTCACAACTCCAGTGCTTAGTGCTAGTGCAAGTCATAATGGACAAAAGCAACTCAAAACAGCAAAGTTTAACCTGGAAAAAGAAAACTGGACGGTTAACTCCAATTGTATCGTCACCAATGAAGAATACAATGTCACTGTGGACGTGAAAGTGGTGCTATACCTTATTTTGGCAAATCCCGTACATGTTGATAGTTGCATGTAAGTTCCTTAATGTACAGGAACGAGATAGAAAGAGCAAACAACGTGGAAATATAGCCGTTCCATGGCCACGTCGATAAAGTTTACGCTGTAAAGCAAATATTGATTATAAAAACTTTATTCCCAGACACGGGAATTAAAAAAAAAGAGGGAACTTTGTGACGACAAACTCGTCTACGGCCGGCCCTTCGCGATCATTCGTGCGGAAATGTGGCGCCAAAAGGTGTAAAAGAGAAAGAGAGAGAGCTAGGAGTGAAAAAGGTCTAAAATATTTTATTGAGCGGTAGGCAAAACTTGCGTAAATATAGTTTATATATAATAAATATATATTTTATTAATATATATTATTTAAAAAAAACACGTCATTATAGGATGGTTGATGTTGGCTTAAGCTTAGTTAGATTTATTAAGCAACCTGCGCATTTTAAATAAAGGATAGAATTTATTTGCAATACTCTGATGCGCTTAAAACAAAATATCAAAAAAGCAAGCCAAACGAGCCCTTAAAAGAGAAGTTCCTAAAACAGAATCATCCAGAACTGATATTAGGGATAATCTTGTTGTTTTCTACAATTACCAATATTTTTAGCAATTCGTGGAAAACTTAGACATTTAGATAGAGAATAATATTAATGGCTTTGTGTTTCTTTGCTTCTAAGGATAAAGTTTTAAAATCTTTTCAAACGTTAAACGTTAAATATATAGTACCATTTAATATAGGGATAAAAATTGACCCTCTTAAAGTGGAGGAGGAAGTACTAGAAGAAGGTGACGAGGGTGAAGATCTTGAAATCATGGCTATGACAGCAACTGATTTTTTTTAATTTCGCTGAGTAAGTTAATTTCATCAATTTGACCCGGTACGCCCGATAAATTAAGAGCGTTTCTAGACTCTCTTGAACTTCTAAAAACCAACTCAGCGAATAACACGGTTAATGCTATTGCTTTCATAAAAACTAGGTTAACGGGACGGGCGCGTGACCTCATTACTATCGAAGAGCTATAATAAACAATATAAAATGGAATTAAGGGATAGTTCGCGAACCGCTGTCAGCATCAAACTGCTGATGGAGGCAAACAAGTAGCTAAAATGGCAACCTAGTTATGCGCAAGAAATTGAATCTCTTTCAAACACAGTTAGGGCCTTATGCCAAAATGCTAACAGTGAAAAAGATCGCTTAAAAATATTGGAGCGACCGGGTTCATTAAATTCAGTTCAGGATCTTATAGCAAAATTCGTTAATGTTTCTTCACAGCCAACCTCGTCAAGCATTCTGTACTTCCAACAAAACCGAGGTTCCTTTAATCAGCGCTTCCCGAGAGGTAGAGGCCCCGGAAGAGGGTTCGGTAACAATTGTAATAGTAGGGGAATTATAAAATTATCAAATTGTATCACTTAATAATATGGGTCCAGGAAGAGGTTTTAGTAACAATTTTAATGGTAGAGGGCGATATTATCCCACAAGCAATCGTGGTAGAGGGAATTATCAAAATTATTATGTTTACCCACAAGGTAGTCAGCAAAATTTTAATAATAGCCAACAGCAAGCTAACAATAACAGGTCTGTAAGGTTTTACGAGATCGAAGTGGACTCGGAAAACCAAGCGGACCCCCAAGCGGCCATACAAGCGGCCCGGTTGGGGGATATGTAAAAATGTATTCACTAAATTTATCACTTTCAAATTTTGTATTCCTAACTACTGAAATGACAGGAGTTAAAAATACCCTACTAGTGGACACTGGTGCAGATATTTCAATTTTCAAAAGAACCACTATAAATAATAATCAGATGGTATACAGCTCAAATTGCATGTGTTAAAGGGTGTAACTGGCAGTATACATCTTTGGAATCCACAAACACCAACATTTTTAATTAAATTTTTTTTTTTTTTTTTTTTTTTTTTGTTTTATTTTGTTAGTTATTATTATTTTCCAATTCCATTTGACGGCATTTTAGGTAGGGATTTTCTAATAAAATATAAATGACAAGTAATATTTTATACAACTGGATAAATATCCTATGCGACTAGAAATAATTACCATTTAGAGATTTAATATTTACTGGTAGTAGAAAATGTTATTTTAATCCCTCCTAGATGTGAAGTTATAAGATCAGTCAGTAGTTTAAAAAACCTAACAGGGGATTCTTTAGTTGTCAATAAAGAGCTTAAACCAGGCATTTTCTAAACAGAACAATGGTATCAGAAGATCACCATTAAGGCAGAACACTGAATTACAAATTTTTGAAAGGTGTATCGTATATTTCTGACATAGAAGTTATAAGTTTAGATGAATTTCATATGTATGTGTTAGAAAACGAATCAAAAGATAGAAATTATCACTTGTTAAATCAACTTAATTTTCTGATATTTTTTCGTTAAAATAGATAAATTGTCAGTAAATAGCACATACGCAAAAGGTGGGGTGCTTGGATCAAACACCTGTTTAGCATAAAAGGCTATAGACGCCAAAGGCAGCAAGTTGAAAAAAGTATTTAGGAAAAATGTCATTGAACCCATTAGTATCAGACTACAACAGTCCTGTATTGTTAGTACCAAAAAAATCACCTGACGGTCAAAAGGCTTGGAGATTGGTGGTTGATTTTAGGCAACTAAATAAAAAACCAGTGGCTGATAAATTCCGCTACCCACGCATTATTCCATTCTTGATCCAACTTGGAAGAGGCAAAATGGTTTTCCAGTGATGACCTTATTTCAGGTTTCACCAAATGCACTTCATGAGGACTCATAGGTTGACGTCGTTTTAGGTGGCGGAGCTCCAGTTCATTTCTATTGAACACACTGGCTTCATTTACTGGATTCTTCATCCAAGCCCTAATAGCTTTCAGCGAATGATGTCAATAGCCTTTACAGGAATTACTCCTAAAAAACCTTTTTGGCCCACATGGACGGCAGTTATAGTGGATGCTCTGAAAAACATCATTTAAGTAATTTATAAAAAAAAAAAAAAAAAAAAAAAAAAAAAATTTAACTTAAAACTAAACCCAAAAAAATGCAATTTTCAAAAGTTATATTTAGGGCATAGGGACAGGTGGGTTTGGGTTCGGATTTGATGGTGGTGGTGCTGACTTGGAATGGGAGGTGGGTTTAGGAACAGGGTTCGTGGTTGAGTGGGTTGGAGGATGGGGGATTAGGGATGATGGACTTGGTTTTGGGGTTGGGTGGAGAGATCATGGACTAGGGGCGGTTTGGGTCATGGGTGGCATGGAGGTGTGAGACTTGGGATAGGAATGAGTGGTTGAGGGGGTTGGATCATGGAACAGGATGGGTTGAGGCGTCATGGGGTTTGGTTGGAGTCGGATGAGTAAAATGCCATGGGGATCTGCTGGAGTTCATTGAATTGGGTTTGGGTCATGGAATCCATGTTGAGATTGAGGATGACAGCTCATCTGGAATAGTATCAATGATTTCGAGATTCAGCGTGACTTGGTTGTGATCATTCCTGAGTGACCACTGGATCAAGGTCCAAAGGCCCCAATCCTAATGAGAGTATTCAAGTAGAGAGCAAGAAATTATTTTGAATTGGACCAAGGGTTTGAGTCAAATGAATTATGATGGATCCTAGGATACCATGGAGTTTGGTATGCTAAAAATTGTTAAGGTAATCTATGTCATTCCATGAGAGAGGTCCAGACTCAAAGACTATGGTCATTATTGATGGGATTTAGACTGGAATAGGATTTTATCTAGACTCAATAAAATGGCCGATAACTGCAAGTTTAGTAAAATAAGATTAAATTTAGATGATAAAATATTACGATGCATCATTAAGATAGAGATTAAATGTAGCCAGAAAAATTTTAAAATCACTGTTATTCTTTGTTTTCCTAGACAGAATTACAAATAAAATAAACTAATTCAAAGGTGATCCGATGTTGGAGTCATTGTGGACAAAGGACTATTAAAGAGTTCAAGCTTTCTATCGCTGGAGCAATGCATTCATGATTGATTTTCTAGGAATTTAGGTATGAGTGGGAGGTCCCTAATCCACTGACCACAGATCCATTGTGTCCCCTTTCTTGAATCATAACTCATCATACAGTCAGGGCTTTGACAAAAGCCAATTTATCTAGGACAGTTTTAACAAGAGTAGTTCTCTATCTCCAATAACAGTCGTAACAAAGTTCATGACACGATGGATTTATCATCTCAGCACCTCAGTGGTGAGATGTCTCTAAGTCTAGAACTCTTCGCCTTTTCTTCTTAGTTTCAATCTACTGGGGTGTCCAATGATGAGACAGTGTCCTGCTAAAAAAAACCGTGATAATAAGATTGTTCTTACTTAAACATAGGAAGATCTGTGATTTTCTTGATCAAGCCCTCAGAAACTTCTTCAGTGTCTTAGACCATTGCAAGATTCCATTCCAGGTTACGGATGGGATCTTTAGGATCTGAGTTCCACTTAGGTTGGATTACCACTTGGAAACAGAAAGGTTCTGGTCCAATTAGTTGAGTGGTCAGCTCCTTTTAAAGCTAAGATTATTTGCTTTTCATTGCCTTCTATCCCTTGGTGACAGGCACAGTGTGGGAGGGACTTTGTTTTCTTTTGCCTAATTTATTCAACTTCTCTATGCATTCTTTGACCAATTTCTAATTGATTGATACTGGGTTGATCGCCTTTAACGCTGCTTGACTATCAGATAAGATGGCTATTTCTTGTTTCAAATGGTTCCTATCTAAGATAAGTTATATGCATCTTTCAAAAGCGTAGATTTCTACCTACAGGATACTAGGAGTAAAAAGTACTACATTGTTGGTTCGGAGTAGTAGCTCTCAGCCCCAAAACCTCGATCCTATTTCCCAATATTAGTTTTTGGAGGCATCAGTATACCAGAGTTATGGTATGGTCTTTCAACTGCTAAGCAGACGTTTCTCTTCAATCCTTCTTATTTACTCAATACTACATTGACATATTTGTCAAAGTTGTACGTTCTTGGCATATCCTCCACTGGGAGTTGCAGGGGTGGTATTTCCTTTTTGAGGTTGTTCCAAGCCCCTGATCAGACAAATTCTCCCATTACTAATTCCGTTAGTGAAACCATTCTAATCATTGTCCGCATTGGCATGTCTACCAATGACAATGTGCAGTGGTATTAGATCTAGAATGACCTCCATTACTGCTGTTGGACAGGTTCCCATGGCTCCTGTGAAGCAAACACATGCTAGTCTCTGGACTTTTCATAGGTTTACTTAAATCCACGTTGCTCTAGTTTGTGTACCAAGCAACTTCTCCATAAGTAATCCATGGGTCTTACTATCATGGTATACATCCAGCGTAAAATGTTAGGGGAGCAGCCCATCTATTTTATTGATCTTTTGCATATCATGAGAACCTTTATGGCTTTGCTGGTAGTGTTCTTAATATGCCTGTTCCACAGGAGTTTACTGTCAAGGGTTATTCCCAGGTATCTAACTTCCTGTGTTGGCAATATTTCCTTTCCATCCTAGTTAAAAGTTCTTTTCAAGTTTTCCAGACTTCGCCTTCTGGTGGATGGCACTATCGCGGTTTTATCTGAGTTGATACTCAGCCCGACGGTCCTGCACCATCTCTCAGCGATGAGTCCTCTTTGGATAATATAACACAAGGTGCCTTCATGTTTTCCCCGTGCAATGATGACTATATCATCTGCATACCCAATGCAGTGTATTCCCGCTTGAGTTAATTTGTCTAGTAGTTCATCTACCACCAAGCTCCACAGCCAAGGGGAGGTTACTCCACCTTAATGGAGTTCCTTACGTTAGTTCTAACCAAATTACAGTTTTGGTACCCATTTGAACCTCTGCTGTTCGTGTTGAGCATTTCCCAAAACCACCAAAGTATCGTTCTTTTACCCCTCTTGTTTCTAGATATCGCCTGACCACCTTATATGGTATATTGTCAAACGCCCCTGAAATCCAAAAAGGCACAAATTGCTGTTTCTTTGCTATCTAGACTTGTCTGTATTAGCTCCGTTAATTGGTACAGAGCAGTTTCTGTGGATCAGCCCGTTCTATATGCATGCTGGCTATCATGCAGTGGTTTATCCTTTAGATGATTTTCTCAATATGGTTGTCAACTACTTTCTCCAGCGTTTTTTGTATGAACGATGTGAGACTATTAGGCCTAAATGACTTGGGATTTGTACAGTCAGTTTTGCCTATTTTGGGTATAAAGAGATTACCTTTGCTCTTCTCCATGTGGTTGGTATGTATCCCATCGCTAGACTGCTTCTTGTAATGCTTAGTAGATGGTGAGTAGCTATTTGCTGACCCTCCTTTAGAGGGGCAGGAAAGATCCCATCCACTCCTGCTGCTTTATGGGGCTGAAGGTGTCGATCCGCCCATTTCAGCTTTGTTCTGTTATTACCCCAAACGGCCACTTCCCAATCTTCTCTGCAAGGATTGTGAGGTTTAGTGGGAGCTACATAAGTATCAATAGGTATTCTACCTGGAAAGTGTGTATAAAGTAGGAGTTTTGCTCTCTCTTCCTCTCTCTCTCTCTCCATTAGCTTCCGTCAGATTTCTTAAGTGCCATGTTGGGGATAGATCCACTCTTGGCCATAGCTTTATGTAATCTAGCTGCATCAGGAGTAGAAGTGATGTTTTCGCAAAAGAGTCTGAAGTCAGATCGCTTTGCCCTTCTTATCTCCTTCTTATACTCAGTTAATTTCTCGCTGTAGAGCTGCCATTTGCCACTGGATTTAGTTCTATTAAAGAGTCGTCGGACCTCCGATCTAGGACAGCCCAGCTATGCTTGTTTTCCTGGAGCTTGTTGTTACTTTTGTATACCTTTACTTGCAGGAACAGCTAGATTCATATGCATCCAATATTGCACTACTGACTTCTTTTGCGTACCATTCTAGATGCCTCTCTAGATGGTTTCTGGCCCTACTCGCATCTATACGGTTTAGGTTGTCTACGGGATTGGTGTTATACATGTCCCAGTCTGTTTTTCTTGGATTCCTTCGAGTTTCTTTTTGGGGTGTGATTCCTCCTAATTTGAAATCGATAATTCTGTGATCTGATAGGGAGGGGTTCCGTTGAGACCCTCCAATCTTTCACGTAACTTGTTACACTAGCACTCCCGTTTGTTAAATCTAACACTTCTGCCCGCGTTTTTGTCACGAACTTGGGGCTGTTCCCTACATTGAGTACTTCAAGATTGTATGCTATGAGGAATTCAAGTAAACACCCACCTCTAGTGTTAGTGTTGGTGCTTCCCCATACCTCATTATGTGTATTGGAGTCGCATCCCAATAGCAGAGATAGTCGCCGTTGGCTGCATAATCGCACGAGCTCCCGTACCTGGTGGTGCCTCCCCGTCACCCGGAAAAAAAGCAGAGGCAATCATGATGTTTTTACTGCAATCCTCGATATTAAGCTGAAGACCATGAGTAGGAACAAGAGATCTCAGGTTGTAAATTCTGAAATACATGTGTAGTTAATGTTCTTTCTTATAAGAATACAGGCTCAGGGAAATTCCTGCCTGTTAACATATATTACCCACTTTAAAGATTGGCTTCCAGACAAACCTCAATTTGTTCCTGATATACTCAGGGTTCCTGGGCTAGTACCATTACATGTTGATTTTTCTGAAAGAGTCTTGTGATTGTGGTGGAAGACCCTTTTGCATGGTGCAGGTTTATTTAGGATATCCAGCCTGGGGGGGGGAGGGAGAAAGGATGTTGGGTTTAGAGGTAGGCTCCCGACCCTTGGAGAAGGTGGTAGCTTGGGTGCCACTTGCGGAGGATGGTCCCACTTCAAGTGTCAGCCACCTCTCCTGTGGTTCTCTTTGGGTTTGGCCTCTTGGAACTCTCATTGTTCCTGTTCCCAGTGTCGCTAGGGTTTCCCCACAGAAAGCTTCTCCAGTGGATGTTTTTTACGAGTTTATTTCTAGATCTCATAGTGTTCCCACGAGTCGCTAGGGATAGTCAGTCCACTTCTATAGAGCCCCACATGCAGAAGTAAGGGGTATCTAAATACTATTAGGGTGCCCCAATTACCCCAAGGTTGAGACCAGTATTGGCTAGTCCTCTATCTAGCCACGCATTCTTTTGACTTGGTCCCGCCATCATAAGATTTTGGGTTTTGGTGAGGTTGTCTCCCTCTTGGTCCAGGCGGTTAAGCCAAGACTCCCACACTCTCTGCCCGTGAGACATGCCCACAGACAGTAGAAGGTGCCTGATTTAAATGTCTTGGTGCAATTCCCAGGCCACGACACTACAGCCAGAGACAAG